ATGTAGCTAGGTTAAGATCTACTTAGATAATAATGATATATTGGGTTGGTGCATAATTATCAGGCGTTTTTGTAGGCGAGTTATTTGTTAATGAAATTGCTGTTTTGTTTAGATTTTTATTTTTTAATAAAAATATTATTTTATTTTCATATTATAAAAATGCGTGTCGATAATCATACACTCCGGAATAATAATTTAAAAATGTTATTGTTGAATTGTTATGTGTCTTTATTGTTTAAAAACGCCTGATAATTATACACCAACCCAATAGGAGGTAGTATAATGTCTGAATGACGAAAGTATTTTTGGTTAAGTTTGAGAGTCACATCGAGATATTTGGAGACTGTCTGAGCAAATTGAGTTACCCAACCTGAAGGTATTTCAAGTTGGGTCACATCTGTAATGTTATGCGATGATTTTATCAAAACCCGTCACTATATATAGTGTACATTTGGCTGTGATACACGTTCTTGGCATACACTTTGGCTTAATAATAATAATAATAATAGCAGCAGCAACAATCCTATTATAATATTGCTTGTCTCTCTATTTGATAGTTCACACGACTTTTATGCCTTGCCAATACCTCATAAATAATGGACTATTTCGATTTGACCGCGTTGGAAGAGGGGAAAATGCACTATTTGGTTTCAGCGAGAAAATGAATGAAAGAAAGAAAGAATAGAAGATAGAAGTAGAGAGAGGGAATCAGATTAATCTTATAATAACAGATACTACACTTTGATTTTAGCCAAAAGTCCGAGAAGCCTTGTCTTTACTTTCCGCCCCACGCTGGCAGGATGTGACATAAAGTCAGTTTAATGTGGGCACCGGGGCCAGGTCCAAAAATAGCCTAGACCCCGCAACCGACGGTATTACTACCGACCCTCCCCCCACTCTTTAGTGTAATGAGGGAGGTACTGACGCGGGCAGCTGCTTCCCGACACCTTTCAGTAATATTTTCAATTGCGCTCTATTCGCAGACAAAAACACGGCTGAGTTGCGCTCTGTCCGAGGACAGAGTCACAACTGAGTGATGAAATGTAGTTTGTCCGCTCGAGGACAGATACTACACTTTGATCCTAACCAAAAGGCCGAGAATCGATGAAAGTGGAGATCCCCTGACAACCGCGATAAACGCGCCACTTTTAAGACGTACAGTATTGAACGACGTAAATCGAGTAGAACAATCGCCAGTTACAATAACATCATCTGCTGAATTGCTTTTTAACTATTATTATTAAGAGAAATGTTCGTAAAAGGAGGATTTGGCTAGCAAATTTGGCTAGTAAATATTAATATTACTCAGTCTATAATTGATTATTCCATCTAAAAATCCCATTATCTGAAAAACTAAAAGTAAATAAATTGTTCTTCTTCTATTTCATCAGAAATTTAATTTAAAAATAAATTATTAATGTAAAAAAAATTCTTGACGATCATAAAACAGTTTAATTATCATTATTAATGTCATTAGTATTCAAATCAGCTCTGCTGGTCGGAAACGACCACCCCACCAAAAATAAAAAAAGGAAATTATTGTTTATTTGTAAATTGGAAGAATAATAAATAACATACAATTTTATAATTGTTTATTCGCTTTAATAAAGTTGTTTGCAAATATTTTTGAATAATTAACGCATGAACATTTGAAGGTCTGATGACGTTTTATATATATATATATCCTCATTGTTCAAGGAATTTTAACGTAATGAATTATTTTCTTTTTTTCCCATTGTCCTTAAAAATAGTTGCGAAATTATATTTGAAAAAAAAAATAATAATCATTAAATGAAAACAAAACAAATAGAAATACAATATACACGCACGCACATTGAGTCCTATAAATAGCCCAATGATTAAAGTGAATCTTGAATAAAAGGTTAAAATTATCTTTTTATTTTTATTAAATGAACTATTGTCAGCCATTATTATTAATTTTGACTCCTATTTAATATCATGTTAATTTTAGCGATAAAAAGCAATTAGATAATTTAAACGAAAATAAATACTAGTGAAAAGGAATGATGATAATAATAATTAAAATTTAACTTTTTAAAAGAAAACAATTATTGGAAATTAAGTGAAAACAAAACGAAAAGAAAATACAAAAAAGTTATAAATTCTTGTTAATGGCCAATAATTAAAGTGTAGTTGCAGCAATTTGGGCAAAAGTTTAAAATTTTCAGAATACAGAAAAATCCTAGATATTTTTATATTAGAACCAAATGTTCGAATAGCCATTTTTTTTTGCAAAAAAAAAAAAAAAAAAATTCTTCAAAAAAGAAAAATCGGTTTCAAAACGGGAAAATTATTTAATGTGTATTTTTTTTAAAAATTGCTAAGAAATTCTAAAAATTCATTTAATATAAATATTTCTCAGAATGTAGCGTTTTTTGGAGATGAATATTTCAAATGTTTACTGTAAGGTCTCTTGAAGAGACACATTTTCTGGTATGGACTAACCAACATCGATTTATTTACTTCATTAAAAACTGTT